GGGGTCCCGGAACGCGCGGTCCCCGGGCCCTGGCGGGGCCGTGACCGCGTCACCCACCCCGGTCCGGGCTCGCCGAGGGGCTTGCCGGCCGCACTCGCGCCGGGCCGACGACGTGGGCGCGCAGCGTACCTCGTCAGGTCACACTGCGGCCACTCTGACGAAAAGATGTTTTAAACGTTGTATGGCCATCTTGCACCGAGCATAACGAGCGATTCACCTTTCCCCGGCACCGGCTGTGACGGAGGGAAGGGGCCGCTGAGAGGTGATTCTGCCCTCCTTCCAGGGGTGGGCAAACTTGGTTGCACATTAGAAGCACCGGAGCAGCTTAAGACTCCTGACGCCCAAGCCTCGTCCAGACCGGTTAAATCAGCGCCTCTGGGGTTGAGAATAGGCACCAGTCATTTCGTAAAGGTCCATAAGGATCTCAGTTCCGGAGGCAGAGCTCCAGAGCGGTGTGTAAAACACGAGGACGTGATGCTGAGAGAGGCCTGGATAGCTTTGCCCGTTGGAGAGTGTGGGAGCTGACCCTGGGCTGGACCCCGCGGAGCCTCCTCTGTCCCTGGCCTGGTTCTCAGCCAGCCGGGTTTTGACAAGTCGGCCAGGAGTTGCTGTGTCCTGTTTGATCATTTTTCCGCTTTAGGTCTCCAAATCTGTTTAGGGAAGTGGAATTTGCCGCCCCAAAATATGCCTCTTTGGCATAAGGATTATTTTAAGATGGTTATTTTAGAGGAGCTGCAGGCACAGGAGAAGCTCTGAAAACCAAGTAGGAGTTCCCTCTGTAAAAGAGAAATCTCCATCGCTCTACCAGGAAGAGGAGCGTGACTCAGTGTCTCTAAGAACTCTCATCAGCGGAGAAGGCAAGGACGTGCATCTGCATAAACCCGTACACCCTTGTGTCCTGGTCTTTTCCTGGTCACCTCCTGTGACTGACTCCTCCACCCCCCAACATCATCTTCTGTCTTTAGCTGAAGATGGTATTTAAGGTAGTGTGGCCTGGGCCATTCTGGCGAGTAACTCAGTTTTCTGGGTCTCTCCCAGGTATACAGGAGGTATACTTGTTTTTTGTTTGTTTGTTTGTTTGTTTGATTTAGTTATTTTGGCTGCGTTGGGTCTTCGTTGCTGCACGCGGGCTTTCTCTAGTTGTGGCGAGCGGGGGCTACTCTTTGTTGAGGTGTGCAGGCTTCTCATTGTGGTGGCTTCTCTTGTTGCGGAGCACGGGCTCTAGGTATATGGGCTTCAGTAATTGTGGCTCGAGGGCTCTAGAGCGCAGGCTCAGTAGTTGTGGCCCGTGGGCTCAGTAGTTGTGGCTCGCGGGCTCTAGAGCGCAAGCTCAGTAGTTATGGCACATGGGCTTAGTTGCTCCGCGGCATGTGGGATCTTCCTGGACCAGGGCTTGAACCCGTTTCTCCTGCTTTGGCAGGCGGATTCTTATCCACTGGGCCACCGGGGAAGCCCCGGTATACATGTTTTTAAACTTCGTTTTTCTCATGTTAATCTGTCTTACGTCAATTTGCCTATTAGACCAGCCGAAGAACCTAGAAGGGTAGAAGGAAAATTTTTCTTCCGCAACACCTGCAAAAAGTAAACTGGGCCCAGTGACTCTCTGAACTTCCACCATCAGCCCTTGCCCCCTTCTGTAGGCCAGGCTGGAATGATGCCTGAATGAGCCCCAGTACACGGCTTTGCTGGAAATATTACTGCTTCTTATGGAGCAGGGTCTGGGGCCCAGGCCCTGCTGCCCTTTCTCCCATGTCAGGAGTGATTCCCTGGAAGCTGGGTGGATGCTCCTCCGTGGCTGTCACAGCTGCTCTGAGTTAGAGAGGGCAGTGAGCATGCCTGTCCCTACCTGCCCAGCTCACCTCTAAGTAACAGGTCTCCACTTCGCCCAGCCTGAGGGCCTCTTCAGCAGCAACGGAGAGAACAGAAAATGACACCTCCTCCTGTCCCATGTGGCAAGGAGAGGCCATTTCAGCCCTGCTGTCCAGTAATCCCTGGGTAGATGGTATGGTATGGGGCCAGTTCCCAGGTCACCAGTGCACAGTCACCACCCCACTCTCGGTCACAGGGCTCAGTTCCTAACTTGCACCCAGGGGACCTTGCCCTCCAGGGTAAGGACCCAGAGCTGGGGGAGTACCAGAGGGCTGGGACCATCAGGTACCCCTCCCTGCTGGGAAGCAGAGGGGGCTGGGAGGTCTTCTCTTCGTCTTAGAGATGTCCCCTCCTCCTCTCCTCAGTGAATGACATTTTTTGGCAAACCCACTTTTATTTTGGAAAATATGAATACGTACTTACATAAGGAGACAGAGCTGCTCGTCTGCTCTCTTGCTCGGGCTCCCGGTGTCTCACTTGGCCACAGCCCTGCTGGGAAGGGTGGCAGCCCAGTTACCGGAACTGTGTTTTTTTGTCACCTGCAGCACCTAGAACTACTCCAGTTGACAGTGCAGCGAGGTGCTGTGGAATGATCGGCCACTTCTCTGTGGCTCTATTTCATCATCTTTAAAGCAGAGATAATCATTCTTGCCCTAACCTGCTTAGAGATCGCTGGGAAGATTAAGGGCAGATGACTGACATGAAAATTTTTACTTTGAAACAGCAAACACTGGGCAGCTCTAGAGTTCATCATTAAGTCTAGCCCATGAAGGAAACAGATGGGCTTGCCAAGGAAAGTGGTTCGTGACATTTTAGCCTGGGGTCCACAGCCTTGACCTCTCAAGGGTCAAGGTAGGATGGTAAACTAGTGGCCAGCTGACTCCTGCAGGTGGGAAGTGGGAAGATTGGGTGGGTGGCTGCCCGAGCTCTTGCTGGCATGTTAAGGAACACCATAGCCTGAGAGGCAGGGGCTTGGCAGGAGAGCGAGACTCTGCGGCATGAGTCTTTGATGAGTTGTCCCCTGCTCTCAGGCCACCCTGCCTCCTCACACAGGGTCTCATCCCTGCTGTCACTTTCTCCCTCCTCGCACAGGCTCAGGAATGGGACATGGACGCCCGGCGACCAATGCCTTTTCAGTTCCCACCCTTCCCAGATAGGGCACCCGTCTTCCCCGACCGCATGATGAGAGAGCCCCAGCTGCCCACGGCAGAGATCTCTCTCTGGACCGTGGTGGCCGCCATCCAGGCCGTGGAGAGGAAGGTGGATGCCCAGGCCAGCCAGCTGCTAAACCTGGAGGGCCGGACGGGGACGGCCGAGAAGAAGCTGGCCGACTGCGAGAAGACGGCCGTGGAGTTCGGGAACCACATGGAGGGCAAGTGGGCGGTGCTGGGGACCCTGCTGCAGGAGTACGGGCTGCTGCAGAGGCGGCTGGAGAACATGGAGAACCTGCTGAGGAACAGGAACTTCTGGGTCCTGCGGCTGCCCCCGGGCAGCAAGGGCGAGGTCCCCAAGGTAAGTGGCGGTCCCCAGGGGCAGGGATGGCAGAGAGGACCAGCCCACGTGGGCAGCGCTCTTTCTGTCAGGCCTTCTCACAAGTGTCTCTGGCTCCCTGTTGCCTGACTAAAGTGTCTTCTTCCCAAAGCCTGCCTCCACTCTAACCACTTCGTCTGGAATGTTCCACCGCAGCGAGGCTGGCCTCCAGCCACTCCCCACGGAGCCCACAGGTCCTGCCTGTGAGCCTTTGCCCTCACTGTTCCCAGTCCCTCCCCAGGTGTCTGGGCGTCCGCAGATTCCGACAGCTCCTCATGCTTGGGTTTTCCCCTTGGCACCTGCAAATGACCCTTTGTCATTGGTTGTCTTTGTGTCTGCTCCTCTGAATGGTTGGGGACTGACCCAAACCACGCCAACCAGAGTCACTTGAGTCATGGCCACCGCCCTCCGGTGGGCCCTCCTCACAGTTCAGAATTCACGCTCCGTTTCCTGTTCCATTTTCTCTCCTGCTGTCCCCAGCTCATCAAGCCTGCAGGCTCAGTCAGCATGCCCCTGAGAAGATGGGGTCACCCTCCGTAGACTCCACATGCAGCTGCGTGTCCTCTGCCTTCCTGTTACCGTGGGCTTGCACCCCACCCCTTCACTTGCTCCAGGAAGTCACACAGCATCTGCCCTTTGTCCCCTGCATCATCACCTCCTCCCTCTCCACTCGCTTATCCCTGCCTGCAGCGTCACCCGTCTCTGTAATAAAAAAAACTCCCTCCGGTGGTGCCTCATCTCTCTGCTCCTCTTTAGAGCGGTCTTTACTTGCTGTCTCCAATTCTTTCTTCATTGTCTCTCTCTCCCTTTTTTAACCTTTTTATTATAGAAAATTCAAACCCAGACAAAAGTAGATCGAATTGTGTGATGAACCCTCATGAATCCATCGTCCAGCCTCTGCAGTTATCAGCTCTTGGACAATCTTGTTTCATCTAACTCCCTACCCACATCCCCCTCCCATTTTATTCTGAAGCACATCTCAGACAGCAGGTGTTTTAATTGTAAATATTTCAGTAGGTAGCTCTAAAAGGTAAGGACTCTTTTTTTTAAAGTAATAATCTCAAGATTATCACTACCATAACATCTCAACCTACTCCAATATCCAGTCAGTGTTCAGATTTTCAGTTCTTCCAAAAATATTATATATTTTTTCTGTTAGTTTGCCTGAATCAGAACTCAAATAAGTCCACACGCTGTGATTCCTGTGTCTCTTAAGTCTTTTCAATCTGTAAGTTCCTCCTTCATCTCTCTCATTTTTCCTTGTAGTTTATCTGTGTTCTGAAGAAACTAGGCCATCTGTCCTGTGGAATTGCTCACTCTCTGGATTCTGCTGTTGCATCCTCTGTGGTCTACATTTAACGTGTTCCTCTCTTCTCAGTATTCCAGGAAATTGGTGACTGGATTATTCTCCCGGGAACCCACGTGGCTGAGGCTTTTGCTGCCCCTTCTCCATCCTAGTGGCCTTGCCAAGGCTCTAATGACATCCATGGTATTAAAGCCAAGGGTTGTTAAAGCCACGGTATTAAAGCCTCAGTCTTCATCTCCCTGCTCTGTCAGCAGCATTTCACGCAGGAGACCCCTCCCTCCTTGAAACACCTGTCCACGTGCCTGCCGGGCTCCCTGCACCCCCTTGGCTCTTCTCGTGCATCACTACCTGCTTCTTCTCAGTCTTCTTCGCTGCTTTCCCCTCCTTTTCCTGACTTCTAGTGTTTGGCGTGGTCCAGGGCTCCGTCCTGACCTTCTGCTCACTCTCTACCCTCCCTCCCTCGTGATTTCATCCAGGCTCAGCGTGTTAGATGCCGTCAGCTCTCAAAGGCAGTCTCTCCCTCCCGCCCTGTCTCTGTATCCTGCCCAGACTTCCTCCTTGAATGCAGTCACGTTCCTACCTGTTAATTCAACATTTCCATCAGGATGTCAGTAAATATCTTAGATTTAATTCGACCAAACTGAACCCCCGATTTCTGCCTGAACCCTGTTCTACTCAAAGTCGTCCTCCTCTCCGTCGAAGACAAGAGCATCCTTCCAGCTGCTCAAACCACAGGCCTCAGGGTCATCCTTCTCTCCTTTCTTTCTCGCACCCAACTTCCGCTATATTGGTAAATACCATCTGATTTTTCTTCAAAACATATGCACAGCCCGGCCACTCCTCCCTGCCTCCACAGCTCCTGCCTTCGTCTGTTGAAGCCGTCATCGCCTCCCGTCTGATTATTGCCATGGCCTCCACCCTGGTCCTCTTGTCTCCATCCTGGGCCCCCACCCCATACAGTCTATTCTCAGCAGAGCAGCCAGAGCGATCCTTTAAAAATATCAATCAGTCATGACTTCCCTGGCAGTCCAGTCCAGTGGTTAAGACTCCGCACTTGCACTTCAGGGGCCATGGGTTTAATCCCTGGTTGGGGAATTAAAATCCTGCATGCTGCACGGCGAGGCTAAAAAATAAATATTCGTAGCTTTCTTCCCTGCCCCCATACCCCCAATAAGGAGGAAGAAAAAATACAAATCAGTCATATTACACCTCTGCTTAAAACCCCCCAAATGGCGCCCCATCTTATTGAGCATAAAAGCCCCCATTTCGTCACTGGCCCCTTCCCTCTGGCTCACCCATCCGACCTCCTTTCCCCCTCACCCCCTCTTGCCCACTCGTTGCTCCCCACGGTCCCATGGCAAGGACTTTCCTCCACCGAAGGGCCCCCACTCCGTCGCTCCCATCAGGGGTTCTGCTCAGCTGTCACTGGATCGCTGTCCCTTCCTGTCCAGCCAATCCCGGCATACTCTTTCCTCGCTCCCTGCTCTCATTTCCTCCAAAGCACTTATAACATCAGGCACCTTAAATACTTACTTTTTTTTTTTTTGTCTCTTGGTTGGTTTCCCTCTGCTTGGTTCACTGCAGTGTCTCCATGCCTACAACAGTACCTGGCTTATAGCAAAAAATGTTTGCCGAATGACTCTCCAGCTGGAGGGCTCACGCTTCCACGTAAGGGACTGGGCCTTCTTAGTCTTTGTATCTGGTAGCCGACCCAGTGGCTTCGCTGGAGCAGGTGCTGGATAGTGATCCATTGAGGCCACGCAGAACTGAGTTCTAACAGTGGCTGTGGTGCCTCCCTAAGCCACTCCCACCACTGCAGCCCCCAGGGGCTCGTTTTTGTAGAGTTTGGCTTATATAACATATTGCTGTGCGGCACAGGCGGCATCTCCTCCCACGCTGCCCTTTGCCCTTGTCTGCGCTCTGCTGTAACTCGGTGCTGTGTCCCTGCCCTGCTGTGCGTTCTGTGTGTTGGGCCAGGCGTTGGGGTTCTTGAGTTGACACCTACCCTCACGGAACAATGGAATGGTTGTGGCGTCCAGAATTAGAAGGCTTGAGTTTGAATCTTGGCTTTGCCACGTGCCGGTTTTCCTACCGCAGGTCAGCTATGTTTTGTGTTGTCTCTGAGCCTCCTCAATTCCTCTTTGGAAAGAAGTGAAGTATAAATAAGTAATTTAGTAAGTAAATTCCCGGGTGGTCTCTCTGAGCTTCAGTGTTCTCACCTGTAACACGAAGATGATAATATGCCTACTTCGTGGAGTTGTGAGGATTAACTGATTTCGTTGATGGGACAACACTATGTAGCTCATTGTAGTGGTTCTCTATTGCCACGTAACAAATGACCCCAACCCTTAGCAGCCTAAAAAAATTATTATTTATCATTTTACAATTTTCGTGGGTTAAGAATTCAGGAACCACTTAGCTGAGTGGTTCTGGCTCAGAGTCTCATGAAATTACAGTCAAGCTGATGACCGGGGCTACAGTCATCTGAAGGCTTGACTGAGGCTGGAGGATCGGCTTCCAGTATGCTCACTTCGCCTGTTTTGGCAGGAAGCCTTAGCTAGTTCCTCACCACTTGGACCTGCCCCACAAGGCTGCTTGAGCATTCTCACAACATGGCAGCTGGCTGCCCCTAGAGTGAGTGATCCAGAAAGGGAGACCAGGATGGAAGCTACAATGTGTTCTACGACCCAGCCTTAGAAATTGTACACCGTCACTTCTTTATTTATTTGTTAGGAGCAAGTCACTCAATCCTGCACTCAAGAGGAGGAAAATTAGGCTTTATTTTTTGAAGGGATTGTCAGAGAATTTGCAGACATATTTTAAAACCTCCATAACCATAAAGCACCATGAGAATGTTAATTAATGTTGCTGGCGGTAGTTTCAATTCATTGTAGACCCTTGGCCTTGCTAGATGCATTCTCTTTGTCAGATTCAAATTTAAGGCTGCTGTCTCTCAGCTTCTCTGTGCCTCGTGGGTTCTGTTAATTGGTTAATTGTTCATGGATAATTCATGGATATTCTTTCCTGTCTGGCTTAGGCTGTAGGTTCCCTGCAGTCTTGGCCCATGTCTCAGAGTTCTGCTGCATCCTAGCAGAGGGAGGTTTTTGCAGAGTGATGTCTATTTCCAACTGTGGGACCATGATTCTGGAGTTTTGACTGGTGAAGGGGGAGCAGAGGAGTTGGTGTGTTGGAAAAGATAACAGACTTGGTTTTGGATACATTTAGTTTGAGGTACTTAAAAGATGAATAGGGACTTCCCCAGCGGTCCAGTGGTTAAGACTTCGCCTTCCATTGCAGGGGGTGCGGGTTTGATCCCTGGTCAGGGAGCTAAGATCCCACATGCCTCGCGGCCAAGAAAACAAAACATAAAACAGAAGCAATATTGTTAACAAATTTAATGAAGACTTTAAAAAAGTGGTCCATATCAAAAAACAAAATCTTAAAAAAAAAGATGAATAAATGAAGCCACTTAGAAGGCTATTGAAATGTGAACTTTGAAGGGAGGAAGGAAAGCTGAAGGGTGTCATCTGCAAAGAAGTAACCACTGAACCTGTGGAAAGAATGAAACTGCCAAGGGGAAAGTGAGGAAACAGGGCAGGGTGAGGGCAGAACCATGGTTCCGGCGGGGAGGAAGAGGGAGCAGTACAGAAGATGTGAACCGGGTGGGCAGGAGGCAGCGTGGTCGTGGAAACCAAGCAGGAGGAAATTCCAGGAAGGTGGTCTGACCTTTCAGAGAGGTCTGAAGGGGTGAAAGCTAACAGCAGGAGGCTGATGACCTCTCAGGATGTGGTTTCAGAGAGTAGGGGATGCTCATAGACAGATTTCGGGGGTTAAGGATGCCTGGATTGGGAAGAAAGCACAGAACGTGTGTCTCGGGATGTGTCAAGTGAAGGGGAAGAGTAGACTCATTTGTGGTGGCAGAGTTGAGTGGGGCTCCTCTCGGGTTGGGGGTCCTGAAGGGGGAACCAGGGGAGACGGAGAGATGGAAAATGCCAAAGGGAAAAGGTGGTTTGGGTTGGGTTTCACAGGCAGGAGGAGGAGAAATGAAGGGCACACGTGGGGGGCGGGGGTGCTGGCTTGGCAAGAAGGAGGGCAGAGGTGGGAGTTTGCCAACAGCGACCTGCCATCAGGGGGCGACCGGAGGAGATGGCGGAAGGCGCGGGGAGCACTGGGGAGAGGTAAGAGTGCGAAAGAAGCCCCCTGGGGAACACAGGGAGATGCCAGCAGTATCGCCAGGAGGCTTCCGAAGCAGCCCGGAGCCAAGAGGCCTGAGTGTGTGGTGGTTGTCACCTGCAGAATTTTGTGACTTTTATCTAGAGCAGAGAATTAAAATGAAGAAAGTGGTCTGTATCCGTTTTCCCAGGTTGGGGATTTGCCGAAGTCTGGCGGAAGGTCCAGGGAATTAGGAGTTCTAGTTCCGTTTCTAAAGATGGGAGTGAGCTATCAGTCAGCGGGTGACATACAGGTCTGCACATGGCACCTGCCCAGTCGCCCTTAGGGTGATGAGCACCTGATGCCAGGGCTGGCATTTATCATTTGTGTACGAGCACTGCCCACTTACCAAGCAGTGCACCAGCAGGCCTGACACCGAGAGTGCTGCTTTTTTTATTCACACAAAGGTGCCATGTGTCAGGTACAAAGACCAATGGACTAGGGTCAGGGCCTTGGGGAGAACTGAGGGCTTGGATTTCAGAGTGAGAGGGAAAGGCTGGTCCAGCAGGGATGGGAAAGTGGTAGGAGGTAAGGCTATGTGGTCAGAGCAGTGAAGCTCAGATATTGAAGTCTTGGAAGTGAAACCATCTTGAACAGTTTTGTCTGAGATGAGGCCATGATGGTGAGTGACTGAAATGAGTACAGACAAGAATCCTTGTCGAACTGAAATAACAGCTTTATGGAGCAGATTAGATGCCCTTGAACACCACATGACTGACATTGGATGCTGGATGACTCAGGCCACAGTGGGACCTTCCTAGTGTTGGCAACAGCTATTCAACACATTCAACAAATATTTATTGACTCCAAACTACATGCTTTTAGATGCTTGGGATATAGTGGTGCACGAAACAGATCAAGATTCCGGAGCCTTGGCGCGGGCAAGTTTTAGTGACAAAAACGCGACTGTGTACCTAGGGGTGACCTGACTGAGGTACAGGTTCTGTAACAGGGTTTTATTGTACTTGGCTCGCTGATAACGCACTCCAGGAACCTACTGCATCTCTGTTACCCTGAATGCCAAAAGCTTTACCTTCAGGTACCCAGTTTACCTAAAAGTGAAATTACAAAGGATGTGGTTAAATGCTTAATTTTTATTTATTTATTTATTTATTTATTTATTTTTTGCGGTACGTGGGCCTCTCACTGCCGTGGCCTCTCCCGTTGCGGAGCACAGGCTCCGGACGTGCAGGCTCAGCGGCCGTGGCTCACAGGCCCAGCGGCTCCATGGCACGTGGGATCCTCCTGGACCGGGGCACGAACCCGTGTCCCCTGCATCAGCAGGCGGACTCTCAACCACTGCGCCACCAGGGAATCCCTAAATGCTTAATTTTTAAGAGGTAGTGGTGACCATCACTGTTACTGGAGGCACAGGATGATCAGGAACAGAGTGGACTGACTCCACTGAAATGGGCTGGGCAGGACGGGGGCCGTGGGTGCAGCGGGCCCAGTGCCCCTGATGGGGAGTTGGTGGGGGGAGGAGCGAGCAGGGGGTTCCAGACTAAAACTCTTGTTGGCCCAGGTTCCGGTGACTTTTGTAGACATTGCTGTTTACTTCTCTGAGGACGAGTGGAAGAACCTGGATGAATGGCAGAAGGAGCTTTACAACAACCTGGTTAAGGAGAACTACAAAACCCTGATGTCCCTGGGTAAGGGCGCCTTCCCTCCCCTGTGGTGAGCACCTTGGGAGTGGGGAGTGAGATGCTTCTCAACCCATGGTGCACCACCCCTGGGCAAGGTGTTTCATGTTTATATGTCACGGAAACTCAAGAAACGATTTGCTTGCCTGCTAGGAAGTTAGAATGATTTGTAACAGAATGGAAAGTAAAAACAGGGCCTATCACTGCAGGACTGAACACTGTGCTGCTGCCATTTTGTAATTACAGCCAAATAGCATCACTATGCGCTGACTCCCAGCAGCCTTGGATAAGCCACAGTTGCTCTGCTGCTGGCTTTCAGAGACCAGCTGTTTCCACACCAGAAACTGGAGAATCTATTGACTTGTTTTCATAGTTCCTCGTGAGAGATTACCTGACATACTCACATAACGGCCACCACCTAGAGGACTGCTGGGGTGGAGTGGGGGAGGGGAGAGCTCCACATCGCCCTTGATCGGAGCCCGTTGATCAGTTTCACTCAGCCCTTCCTTTCCTTCCACCTCATTCCAGACTCGGAAGGTCCAGTGTCCAAGCCAGATGCTCCACCCCAGGCCGAGCCCCGGGAAGAGCCTTGCGTGTGGGAGCAGCGTGACCCCGAAGAGAGAGAAATCCTGATGGATCCAGACACAGGTGATGGCAGCCGAAGACAGCCCTAGGTCCAGGGCAGGGTGGGAGAGAAGCACCGCCATCCCTGCATGAATTCCAGGCAGGCTTCTCCTGAGTTGTTCATGGGGCCAGTTCTGCTGCCCTTGAAATTTGGCAGTCACCTACAGGAAGAGTTTCAGGGCCAGAAAGCACACCACAGATGTTTGTCTTTTGGGTCAGAACCGTGTAGCTTGAGATGCCCAGGTAAGCTGGAGAAAAGAGGAAGCGGGGGGTGGGGGGGGGTGCCTTGCAGCCTCCCAGGCCTGATGGGTGCCCTAGACCTGAGTGCAGCTCCAGCCTAGGGAGGTGGGCAGAGGGGGCTCTGCGTGGTGCAGGTGGGGTGCGTGGCCGACTGCTTCGTGCCTGGCTGTCTTCTTCAGTATCCTCACCCCGTTCTCACAGATGCCCCATCACAGGCAGACTTACCCTCCAAAGCTTTCTCCTCATTCAAGGGAGATCTTACGTTCTGAGGATCCAGTTCCCCGAGAACATCACACCTGGTGATGGGAGGTGCGAGGCTTCCCGGGACCTCAGCTCTCCTGAGCACTGTTGGGCCAGGTGAAATCTGGTCCTTGAACTGTATTTTCTGCCTTATCCCAGGAACCTTCACCCATTGGGGCCTTCTGCCCTTCCTCCCTTTTCAGTGGAGGGTGTATTCACTGAAACTTCCCTAGAAGGTAGCCCAAGGCAGCCCCCTCCCCCCATTCTGCTCTCTTTATTGAGATATAATTCACATGCTGTAAATTCACTTTTGAAGTGTATCATTCAGTTCACCAAGTTGTGCAGCCATCATCACTATCTAATTCCAGAACATTTTCATCATAGGGAACCCCACACCCATGAGCAGTCACTCCTGTTCTCTGTACCCCCCAGCCCCTGGTTGCTATGGATTTGCCTATTCTGGACGTTTCGTCTAAATGGCTCCTTCCCTGTCTTAGGTACCACAAATATTTGAGGTTAGCAGCTGTGGTAACCTTTCACAGTAAAGCAATGTAACCTCAACCATTTCACTGAGTTATCATCCATCCCTGTGCCAGATAGAACAGGGACCACTGTGGCCTTTTTATGGATGGACCGAGCAGACAGAGCCAGAGAGGGCAAGTGACTCATCCTCTGGGCTGGGGGCAGAGGTGAAACCAGGATCCGTGTCTTCCACTTCCTCATGTAGTCTCTTTCCTGCTGTCTCCTGCAGGGGCTAGTGTTATACATCACACCATAGACCCTCATAAGAGGAACATGCCCCTGTGGTCACGTCACGGGGTCTGCATGGAAGATATGTTATTGTCTTTTATGCAAAGGGATGCTGTGCATTTTCCATTCCAGGAATGGCACAGGGTTGCTGCCCTTTGCCCAGTCTAACTTTGTGTGTGTGTGTGTGTGTGTGTGTGTGTCTGGCCCACTCTTCCTGACTGGGGTGCAGAACAAGGACGAATGTCTCCCACACGGAGGGAGACCTATGGCCTGTCCTGATTAGCACCTACCCAGAGTGGGCTGTTTCTGGAACCCTCTCCCAGCCTTACCACACCTCATTTTGTGGCTTGGCCTACCCCCTTGTCCTGAATATCAATCGCCTCTCTGCTCCCAGGACCTTCTGCTCCTGGGGGTTCCCCATAGTTGCCCAGAGAAACCCAAGACCCCTGTGCTCTTCCCTGGCCAGTGCTGTCAGCCGTGCTCCTGACCCCGAGAACGTCCAGCTGACGATCATTCATGAAAACGGCACCAAACGATATGATTCTCTGTCCCCAGGAGCAGAGCCCCTGGTGCCTGCACAGGACACGTCCTCTCAGGTGAAGCGGGAGGAGCCCCTGTGTGCCCGGGGTCAGCGGGGCCTGGAGGAAAGAGCCATCCCCACAGAGTCCATTACCGGTGAGTGAGCTGACTGGCCGCCCAAGCCGGGTGGCAGAGGAAAGGTCCAACGTGGTCTGCAGGCGCCCAGCGTTGTCTGACGTGTGTGCCAGGCCAGAGGCCTGAGCTGAAAACAGAAGATTGTGGGTCCAGGATGGATGGAGAGACAGGGTTTCCCACGAGCCACAGACCTGGCACATGACGTGGACGAGTTGCCAGCACGTCTGGGCTTAGCCGTTCTGTTTTCTCTTCTTTGTAATATCAGTTTTTAACTGTTCCTTTCTTCCCTTGGAAAGCAGTATCTGCAGAAGAACAGAGTGTGAGGCGTCTTACAGGTCCCGTGGGTGGGGGAATCTGTGGGTCTGTGAGACCTGCTCCCGACTGGTGGGAAGAGCTTTTGTTGTTTTAACCAAGCACTTACGGCTGCTGCCTCTGTGTCAGGCCCGGCACGGCGCAGTCCTGTCAGGTGGTCTGGATAGCTCCTCTTCGACGGCATTCCGGCTGGACTTTGTACGTGAGATCTCTGTTAGAGAAGATATGTATTTATTAGTCAGAGTTCTCCAAACAGTCAACAGGGTGAGTGTGTGCGTGCGTGTGTGTGTGCGCATGTGTGTAGAGAGATATTGATTGAGTGATTGAATTTAAGGAGCTGGCTTCTGCCAATTGGAGCGCCGGGGCAGTCTGCCAGCAGGATTCCCTTTTCCTCGGGATGTCAGTCTCTTGCCATTAAGGCCATCAGGTGGTGGGATGGGGCCCACCCACATTATGGAAGGCAGTCCACCTTACTCAAAGTCTTGTTGAACTCCTCAGAACAAAAAAGCAACACAGAAACATCGAGAGTAATGTTTGGCCCAGTATCTGGGTACTGTGGTCTAGGCAAGTTGACACATAAAATTAACCATCACAAGATATATTAACACACTGTAGCTCTTTACTTATCCACAGGTTAGAGCTCCACAAACCTCATCCCCCTTAGTCAAAGCCTCACACTCATAGGTAAGTGATAGCAGCCCCCAAGCAGAGGAAAGCCGCTTTTTCCCAATTCATCCGGCCAGTTCCTCAGCATCACGGTGCTTCAGAGGGATCTTTAAGAGATAAGAAGGCAATAAAGGGTAAATGAGGTTTAATAGACTCTGCAGAGGAAAGAGGGTGTAGGATACATCTTAGAAGAATCCCATTAAGATGGTTAAGATAAAAGGCTTCCTGGGGAAAAAAAAAAAAAAAAAAAAAGCCTTCCTGGAAGGTGTCATTTTCCTGGATGGTCCCTGCAGGAGGAAGACCTCCTTCCACGGTGTTGCTCAGGCCTCAGGCGTGAACCTCGGTTGAAGGAGTTAAGTTCCTGAAGGACAGGAAAGCTCTCTCGATGACATCACTGTTATGTCACCCCCCTGTAGTATCCACTTATTTGCGGCAAAAGCTCCAGCAACTGAGGCCAAGCTGACCTAAAGCTTTAATTAACTAGAATAATTACTGCTGATGTTTAGGGAAAAGAACTAATTGCATGACACGAGAGACTTAAAGCACCACTTTGCTGGCGTTTCTGTGTCCCCTGACACCTTTGCTGCCCTGTTCCCACAAGCAGACTCACCAGCTTCTGCCCAAGACCTCCTGTCCCGGATCAAACAGGAAGACCCCCAGTGCGTGTGGGCTCAGCAGGAGTTGGCGGAGAGGGACATTCCAACGGACCCCAACTCAGGTGAGCGCGCCGTCAGAGCACGTGGAGATGACTTTTGTAACTGCCAGAAAATCAATCCAATTGAGTCACTTTGGTCAAAGGCCAGTGAAAGACTCGGGGAACAACCTACAGTGTGTTCCTCAGGTGGCGACTTTGTACACACTTTGGCATATAGCTATTAGAAAAGTGGGGAGGATTTCTCTAAAGGAATAATCACACCGATAATTTGTACTGTCAGTGAACTGATACTAAAATGACTTCACTGATTTCTGAAATATAATTTAAAAGTCTTTTAAAAGTGGTACATATTTCTGTGACAGAAAGAAAGAAAGAAATTTTACTTTTCCTGGAGTCTTCCTCGAGTGAATAGTAGTTAGATGTCTCCCAGGAAACTTCTGGGGAGAGTCCAGGCATAAAGGGAAGCATAAAAGAACAATAGGGAAGCTCTGCCTGCCCAGGCCCCATGTGCCTGTGCGCGTGGGTGTGTGCGTGAGTGCGGGCGTGCGTGTGCATTTGTGTCCGTGTGCACTGTGTGCGCGCGTGTGCGTGTGTGTTCACATATGCTTGCAGAGCTGGAGGAGGCCAGTGTCATCTTGTTTGCTGGTTGTGACCCCAGAGTCTCACGCAAGCCCGCACGCCAGGAAAAGAAGCAGCTGTAAACTCTAGGATTCCGTGTCGTTTGTCAACTGTACAGCCTCACAAGGGGGGAAGTTGAAGGGGTCCAGGGCAGAAGAGAAAGCAGTGCCCTCCCGACAGAGAGGCGGCAGCGTCCACTGCGGTTCCTATTAATGACCTTTGTCCACTGCTTCTGCCGTTGCCGATCTGGAAGGCCGACCTCTTCTCCCTTGGTCCTGTGGGCCGTCAGAGGCCAGGCTCCCCTCCGGCCTGGCCCCGCAGGTGGCCCTGGGGCTCCGAGGACAGAGCCAGAAGAACTGGGTTCCGGTCCTGGCTCTGCCACCACACAGCCTCCTCCCTGGCAGCAGCACCAGTGAGGTCCCATCTGGGGAGGCTGTTGACGCTGTGGGGGGACAAGGATACCCAAACTGCCACACGCCCTCTGAGCAGAGCAGCGGCCTCTGCACGTGGCGGTGTTCGAACTTTCGGTGGGATGCTCGGTGGAAAGGAACAAGCTCTAAGACTGCCTTCTTTCCCCAAACAGAGTCTCTGATCTCTGCACACGACATCTTGTCATGGATAAAGCAGGAGGAGCAGCCGTACCCGTGGGGCCCTCGTGACTCCATGGAAGGAGAGCTCGGATTAGATTCTGGCCCTGGTGAGTGGTGCACCCAGTGGGGCCCCTGGGTGTTTTGTCCACAGGGATGGTTGCTCACGTAGCCTAGCCCCTTATAGGGTGATGTTCTGTCATGGCAGCCTTTTGAAGGCCTGTATCAAAGCACTGTCCCCTTTCCTTCTGGAGGATGGCAGATATGTTAGCTTCCTAGCGCTGTCTTAACAAAAATACCCAACTGGGTGGCTTAAAACAGCAGAAATTTATTCTCTCATAGTTCTGGAGGCCTGAAGTCTGAAATCAAAGGGTCCGCACGGCCATGCTCCCTCTGAAAGCTGTAGGGGAGCCCTGCCTTGCCTCTGCCTAGCTTCTGTGTTTGTTGGTGATCTTTGGTGTTCCTTGGTCTGTGGATGTGTCACCCCAATCTTCTGTCTTCACACGTTCTGTGTCTTATAAGGTCACGAGTCACATTGGATCAGGGGCCTGCCCTCCTCCAGTATGACCTCATCTTAACTACACCTGGAAGGATCCTATTTCCAAATAAGGTCACATTCTGAAGTACTTGGGGGGGGTCCAGATTTTGATGTATCTTTTGGGGGGATATAATTCAACCCAGAACAACAGGGAAAGGCGAGCAGGCTGGGAGCGAGCTGAGGCAGTGGTGTCTGAGCAGCAGGTTATGGCAGCAGGTGGCTCACACACTAGGAAACACTCACCGGAGCACCCAAGGCAGCTGACATCCCAGAGTAACTGGGAAGATCCTGAAGCTCAAATAGGAAGAGGGGATTTTTTTCTGCCGACAAGTATGAGGCCAAATATCTCCCCTGACTTGGGTCTCTTGGGTCTTTTTGGAAGCCCCCTTACTGGCTGAGGACCTTTGGCATGTGTTGGTGGGTTAGGTAACACGTAGAATCAGGCTCACATTCCTTGCCAGGGCCGGCACCACTGAAACAGCTGGCTGAATGTCCTCTGGGTGATTGGGGTGGTGAAGGGACAGTTAATCATATGTTCCTTGCTCACATTCCCGACCCCCTCTAAGAGCTCGAAATCCATGTCAGAGCTGAGGACATGGGTTATTTCTGAATCTGAAGGGACATTTAAAACCCAGGTGAGCGGATCTCACTCTCCGTGAGACAGACTTAGTTCAGTCTGGAAGAGCAGAGTGGGCCCGGAGGAATGGGTAGGGGATGGCAGAGGAACAGTGCACATCCTTGTCTAAAACAGAATTTCAGTTGTCCTCTTTCTAACCTGCTGGTGGGGTGGGATGTGACAGGGACATCCGGGGGCCTGCCTGTGAGGGCAGGAAGAAGTGATAGCGGTTGATGCTACCCCATCCTCTGCAGCACTCAGGCCACCATTTCTAGCCCTGACCCTGAAGGCAGGGGTACCAGATCATCAAACATTGTGCCAGGAAACTCCGCCCAAATCTTTGTCCCTCAGCGCTGCCTTCCGATTTCTCCATCTTGGCTAAGAGCGTGTGGGCTTCAAGGAGCCTTTTCCTGGGACCTGCGTCGTCGTGAAAACAGCGTGAGAAACTAGTGCAGAAATCGCCAGGCTTTGCAGATCACCAAGACGCTTTCCTTCTCCAGTTCGAATATGCCGAGCGACTCATAGAACAGTTTGCCTCGTGCTGTTTTGTCTCTGGGGGGCCTTAGAAAGTTTGCATTTGGGAAGAAAGGCCCAGAATTGGGAGAGAGGGGTATCTGGAAACGCTTCTCCTGCCTGCCCAGTCACTAGAGCCTCGTATCAGAGCCTCTTGTCTTTCTCCCAAAATGAACCTGCCTTCCGCTTATCAGTGTTGGAATGTGAAATTAGTATCTCACCTGTGATTTCTTTGAGGTTTAAAACCCGCCTAGTGCTGTGGTTGCCAAGGACCACCAGGTGGACTTTTGGTAAGACATGGCATCATGTGGTAGTCTTCTGGAGGGGGCTTGGAAGGGGAGAGGGGGCAGGGCTAGAGAGTACAACGCAGAAATACATACATGTTCACGCCAACCCCCTTCCCTGGCCCTGCCATAAACAAGAGAGAAAGACCTGGTGTCCTGCTTAACTCAAAGTCAGACGTCAGCCTAACCGGACATTCCCTTTTAGTAAAAAGGATTCCTGGCTTTATATATTAACGAGTGGGTATTACTCTCTGCTCTCTGACAGTGTAAGACAGGAAAAAAGTCTGGTTCACTCAGAAGTAACGTGCATGGGGCTCCACTGAAGCAGGAAGTATGAATAGGGGTTTGGAGTTCAGTGGCTACTGGGTGCTTCTGGAGAGAGTGGGGAGCCTCAGGCCAGACCTCCCTCCTCGGACGCCAGCGCTCAAAACACACTCGCAAATCACAGGATACGATTTGAAAGCAGCCTCCTGAAATTCCCACGTTCTGCCTTGGGTTAAAACTGGTTAAAACAGTGATTCCAGCCTTTTTTAGTCTCTGTTACTTAACAAATATCTACCTCGTGCCTGCGCTATGCTACGCAGTACTACAGGCACTTGGAATAAGTGGTGAAGAAGGGCCCGGGGCCTTTCCTTTTGTGGGACGGCGATGAGCAGTAAGCAGGCAAACAAGATAAAGTTGGGTAAACGCTCTGAGGGTGACGACTCAGGGAAGACAGGGGGATGGGAGTCGGGGCGGGAAAGGAGGAAGCACTTGAGTGTGTCCAGATCACAAGAAGGAGCTGACCGTGGGGCTGCTGGGGACGGGAAGGCCATAAGGAAGGCCATCTGGGGAAGGAGGTTGGAGCAATAGACAAGGAGGAGTCTGACCACGTATGACCTATGGGCCAGGTTAGCGTCTGGATTTTATTCTAATATTAAAGGAGACTAACAGAGGCTTTTAAACACAGTGGTGACACGATCTGGTTTACATTTTTAAAACGTACGTTTGGGCATTGACTGGAGTCAGGTGGGGAGAAAGAGCCAGAAGCGGGGAAACCATGTAGGAGCTAATGCAGTGGGTAGAGACCAGGTCAAGAGGTGATGGTTGGAAATATAACTGATGGATTGTCTGTGGTGGATGAAGAGACAAGAGTGACTCCTAGGTTTTGATCCAGAAACACTGGGCGAATGGTGGTGCTGTTTGCTGAAATGGTGAGTCCTGGAAAAGCAGCAGGTTGGCTGTGTAAATTAGGTGTTCTCCTCTGGGCCCGTTCAACTTGAGATGACATCCAGGTAGCAATGTCAAGTAGACCGATGAACATAGGAGTCTGAAGTTGGAGAGCCCGGGGCTAGATTGAGTGGGGAGTTACAGGTTGCTGACACCAACCACCTGGAATTAGGCCAGACTTCACAGGTGAAGCACGTCGTTCTCCACGTGCCTGCTCTCACCTTACACAGCAGCTGCAAGTTCGAGGGTCCCCAGACCACCCGCACTTCTGACCAGCTGGCTGCAAATTCAGGGGTCTCCACTAACGCCTCAGGTGCAGTAATTCCCTAGAACAACTCACAGAACTCAGGAAAGTGCTATACTTACTATTAGTTTTATTAGAGCAAGAGGATTCAACTCAGAACCAGCTGAAAGGGGAGATCTGCAGGACCAGGTCTGGGAGGGTCCTAAGCATGAAGCTTCTGTTGTCTACTCCCTGTGGAGTTGGGAGTGTCATGCTCCCCACACAGCGATGAGTGACAATGAGTGACAGTACTGCCTACCACAGAACCGCACCGGAGCCTCTGTATCCAGAGTTTTTACTGGGGTTTCTTTACATACGTACAATTGATTGAATATTCAAACTGCTTTAAAGAATAAAGACATTTATTCTCTTACGTAACTAAGAGGTAGTCCGGTTTTAGCCTTGGTTGGTTCAAGGGTGCAGCTATATTATCAGGGACCCAGGTTCTTTCCAACTGCTTGTTCGCTCCTCCTTGGTGTGGATGGAGCAAGTTGGCCACAGCTGTTCCAAGCATCACCTCTGGACGCAGAGGGAAAGGAAAGGCCGTCTTTTTTCCTGCACTGTCTCCAAGGAGTGAGGACGCTTTGCCAGAAGCCTCCCAGCAAACACATCATCTCATCGGCCAGAACAAGGTCCCGTGCTTGTATCTGAATCGGTTACTGGCCAGTGAGTTCTAGAGTTAAAGTCCTCACGTTAGAGCTGGGAGGAGATGTGGCGCAATGCCCGTGGAGAGTGGAAGAGTGGGGCACACGCTGAGTCACGGGGTAGGATGCCAGGGTTTGAGGTGTGTGATCTCCAGCAGCCTTCAGCTACTTGAGTGCTGTCACTGCATTGGGGCCCCTCAGGCAGGCCCAACAGAGGAGAGAGGGGCAGAGGGACCACAGGAGCTAAGCTGGGTCAGGAAGGGAGAACAGAGGCGGGGGGG